CATCCTGAACAGTGCAGAGGATATCTGTTGTGATGGAAGGGCTTCTCTGACTTATGGACGCAAGGTTCATTGCTTTTGTTAAAAGGGTGGTCATTTATGCTGGTTTTGTATTTGCGTGTTGGCATGTATTTTGTCATTTGGATCTTTGTTTGCGGTCATCGGTCCGGAGCGCGTATTAGCAGTTGTAAAGATGACACCTGTTACAGCGGCTGCTGTTTTCCAGGTGGTACCCTCCTGGTCACGGTGACTTCTACCAGTCCTTCCACAACTCGGGGCTACTTAACCAGTTCATTGACGAGGGTCGCGAATATGTCTTCATTTCCAACATAGGTAAGGCATCACTCGTGATACGCGACATAACCCTGGTGGTCGGCGCGCTCGTAACATCGCCGCCCGTTCCTATCATGCTCAGTCCACTGCTGGGTCGACACTGTGCCGCGACCTGCTTCGGCGCGTGTCGCAATGGGGCTGCTGTGGGGCGGAGCGTCGCTTCGCTGGAAGTCGCCTCCCCCTCTCTGTGTGGAGGGGAGTCGCTGGTTCAGGAGGCGTCGCCGTCGCGGCCGTGACCCAGCCCGTGCCAGGTCGCGGTCTTGACCCCCCCCCCCCCCCCGCCTTCTCCGCTTCAGACAACCTGGGCGCCACGGTCGACACGGCCATCTTGAGCTCGCTGCTGAACCCGCCGTCTGGCGAGCGGCACTGCGAGTTCCTCATGGAGGTCACCGACAAGACACGCGCCGATATCAAGGTCAGGGGTCAGCCGCCGCGGGGCCGGGTCACACCGGGACGGGGCAGGACGAGGAGGGCTCTCGCGTTGCTGGGAGGGGGAGGGGGGAGAGCACTGGCCTGGGGAGATGGCGCCGCGCGGCCGCGGGAATCGGTGGTGATGACACACCCGTCTGTACAGGGAGGCACGCTCTGCGAGTACATGAAGAAGATCCGGCTGCTGGAGATCGCGCAGGTGCCCAAGGAGCATGTGGACGAGTTCAAGTCGGTGAAGAAGTTTAGGATCTTCAACACGAATAATCTGTGGGTCAATCTTAAAGGTGAGACTGTGGTAGCTAGTTCAGAAGCTTACAATGACAGCAGTCTGTGGTGACTAGTTAATAAGCTATAAACGACGGCAAATTAGTTTTAAATTGCGTTTGTCAGCTGCTCCTTTTTATTGTCGGCGAGTGCTTGTAATTTACCAAAGGTCTGCCGTAATTTCTCGGCAAGTATCGCAGTGCTTCAGTGCACTGCACATGATCCTGATATGGCGCGAAGGCTCGCCTCGTAGACTTTGCCCGATAGACCGTCGCCGAGTCGATCGTGTCGTGAGATATTGCACAAGGAAGCCCCTCGGTGCTCCGGCACCTTGCGGCGTCTGGCGCTGCAGTCCGGTTGGTGCAAGCTGAACGGCTACGTCACCTCCACCGTCGTGACGTGGCCGGCGATATGCGCCCAGCTCGGCTCAAACTCGGCTCGACTGTGAGAGCCACGTGAGCCCGGCCACTTGACGGCGTGCTTGTAACCCGCGTCAGCGACCGTGCGTGTGTGTCGGTGGACTTGGCGGAACGAGGGGTCATCGCGATTTGGGCTGGCCGTAGTTTCGTTATCTCTGGGCTGTTAAGTGAGGTACCTCTCAGACGATGCCGTCGGTCGCGTCAGGTGGTAAAGCTGCGACTATGCGATACCTGCGACACTTTCGAAATCACGGATCTCTAATCTGTACCGTGGAGTACTAACATCCCAGACGACGTCATCGCGCCCGCTGAAAGGCCCCAGCTACGGCATTCCCACGACTAGACACTTCATTCCACGAACCGTTCCTCTCCATCGATGATGACGCAACCGTCACCGCCGCTGCCGTCGCCGCCACCGCCCGCGCGTGACCCCGGTTCACTCTGGCAGCCGTAAAGCGGGTGCTGGAGCAGGAGCTGCTCACCATGGAGATCATCGTCAACCCCAAGACGCTGCCCAACGGCACCAACGTCATCCAGCTGGAGACGGCCGTTGGTGCCGCCATGAAGTGCTTCAACGGCGCCACCGGTCAGTCTCTTCCGGCGCCGTCAGCCCCCGCCGCCGTGCCGCCTTTCTGCTGTGGCGGCCGTCTGGCAGATTCTCGTATTTCTATATGTTCTCCAAAGCTCATGGTTTGTCTGTCTCGCTCGCGTGTTATGTCTCGTGCGGTTTTCATTTACACGTGGCAGGGGTCAGACACCAGACGCCGTGTTGGTTCAGTCCGTCGCCTTCGACCGGGCCGATGGTTCGGTATTGGTGACAGTCGGAGCTGTTCTTCTAGCTCGGCCCGTGCGATGGGGCGGCATTGGTGAGAGTCGGAGCTGTTCTTCTAGCTCGGCCTGTGCGATGGGGCGGCATTGGTGACAGTCAGAGCTGCTCGTCTAGCTGGGCCGGTGCGATGGGGCGGCATTGGTGACAGTCAGAGCTGCTCGTCCGTCTCGACCAGTGCGGTGTCATGACGTCTGCTGTTCCCTCGCGCCAGGCATCAACGTGCCCCGGCGGCGCTTCCTGCCGGTGAAGAAGACGGACGACCTGCTCCTGGTGATGTCGAACCTCTACAACCTGAATCAGGGCAACCTGGTCATGTCGCCGCTGCGACAGTTCGCCTCCACCCCACTGGTCAAGCTCGGTCCCAACCACTTCGCTAAGGTGAGCGGCACCACGCGCAGAGACCCGGCCTGAAACGCGGCGACGCGCGGTCGTGGGGGAGGTGGGGGGGAGGGGGTTCTGGATTCGTTTTGTTTTCATTTTCCTTCAGGCAGCATATTCATGCATTTTCTGATGGACGCTGGCGGCTCTCCTTTGGTCAAACTTGTAGATCAAGGTAAGTTTTACTCTCGTTGATGTGTACTGTACGTCTTTAAAACGCGTTGGATTGATCAAAATGGTCGAGTTTGCAGCGAATTCTAACATGGATGAGCGGACAGTACTAAGTCTGAGAGTTCGTTAGTATCTCCAAAGTTCATTTCCTCCTTGTTAAAGTATCTCTTGGTATCGCCGGAGCGTGGCGGCACCGAAGGCAGTCAACAGCAGCAGCATTCCAAAACTGTGTTGAACGGTGCAAACATATTTTCCTGCTTTGAGAGGTACGTGTAGCGTTCAAAAGGCAACACTGCACTCACTGCACTTACTGTTTCTGTCACACCCTGTGGTTGCCTCAAGTCCCTTCCACACACCCAACCCGCACACCCCACCCCACCCCATTTCGCCCCAGACCGGGCCGGCCGTCAGGCGAATGGCAGTCCCTGGCCGGCGAGCCCGACCGGCGACCGGGGCTTTAGGGCGCCTCAGTCGCACTGCTGTGTAGCGTCGGGTGACGGACGTGACGGACGTGACGCACGTGGCGGACATGACGGGTTGACGAGCGTGACGGGATGACCGCTTGCGCCCGCCGCCAGGTGGCCCACTTCCTGAAGCGGTTCGCCTCCATCCCGGACATCATGGAGCTGGACCATCTGACCGTCTCTGGTGACGTCACGTTCGGCAAGGACGTCTCGCTGAGGGTGAGTGACGTCACGCCGTGGCGCCGTGACGTGGCGTCGGTGATCTTTGGATCCCATTTTCGCCGCACTGGCGTAAACGCCGGACCGCAGTAATATTTCGGCGGCTTGGATTGTTTTGCATAGCTCGTGGGCGGGTGGGACATCAGGGCGAACTGAACACCGGTAATTACGTGCAGGCCTGAACAAAACCACCTCTGTGGTGTGAACGCCCAAATCTCACAGCGACTGAAGCGGGATAAACCGAGAAGAGCCCCGGCAGTACAGACGGCGGCGTGGTTTGGACGGTGCGCTTCTTCAACGATGTCGCGGCAGGCTGGCCTCCGTCGCACAAGCTGCGTTGTGTCTCTGTGAAATGTACAAGCGCACGACTCGCTCTGTTGGCTCGATTTGGCGCCGCGAGGCGCCAGCGCGCTACTGTCTGTGGTTCTGACATGACACCGTGCGTGACATGACACCGTCCCGCGCTGACACGGCACTGACACGGCGGTGCGCGGCAGGGTGCGGTGATCATCGTGGCGAACCATGGCGACCGAATCGACATCCCGGACGGCGCGCGGCTCGAGAACAAGGTCATATCGGGCAACCTGCGCATCCTGGACCACTAGGCGGCTCCGCCAACGCCTCTGGCGGCCAGCCGGCGCACCACGGCCGCCGGCCGGCCGCCGCCGCCGCGTCCGGCCACGTGCAATGAAGACCGCGGACAATTTGGTCCGACAGATATTAACTGTAGTGGACGTAGAACGGTACTCGAACAAGTGGCTACCTCGCTTGCCACCCCGCCGTGCACATGCCGCCTGTTACCGCCGCGGGTCGCGTGGGCGTTTGTTACAGTCCGTCAGCAGACGGAGTCCGGGAGTGGGCGGGTCGCCCGCGGGGGCGCAGGACGCTGTAGGAGGTGGGGGCACGTGCCATGATTTTAGCCAGCTGAGGCTTGCGGATAGTCGCCTCTCCCTAGCGCTGCTCCCTGGTGAAACGGGCGTTGCCATGGTAGCTACGGAAGTTGTAGGTGAAGGGACGGGGCACGAGGGTGGGGGCATGCCGCTTCGCATTGTACAAATATCCGACCTTGTCTTACCGCTACAGTATCGGTAGATCGCTCACGCCGTGTTTTGAAACACCTCGAAATAAAGGTAATCTTTACATGCCACGCTGTTTTTCCGCCGTCCGCCGTCGCCGCGCCACGCAGATTGCGACTGAACGCATCAGTAACGTGAGATTGTTCCTGACGGTTCTCTTTGCCCCTCGGAGTGAGGATTGGGAACAACAGCTCGCCAGGATCAACATCCCCCCCCCCCCCCGAGGCCAACAGCGTCGCCAGCGCGGACGCGTTCCCCGACCACGAAGCTGGCAAGGAACCAGCTCGAGACCAGATGTCCTCACAGCATGTCCCATTGTGCGATCAGACAGTGAGCAAAGCAGAGGCGAATGAGAATTAATGTAGGTGGGCCGTGTCATGCCGTGTCAGTCGTGCTGACCCCAGTACCACAAAACACGCGTTCAACACCACTTTCCATTCATCGAAGATTCACTTGACATGTTGCAGCACCGCGGTGTCCATAGGCCGCTTTTACCTCGCTCCGAAACGCGCGCAAGACGTCGAGCACACGCCGTCTGCTGGGGCGCCTTCCGTCGGCTACAAGCCCCGCTCTCGCATCCACTGTTTGACCTGGGTCACGTACTCGCCCTTGAACTGCACGTACTGAGCCATCTCGTTCACTTGCGAGGCGATAAACTTCTCATTGACCGCCTCCAGGTGCCGCTTCAGCTCGTTGTGAAACAGCTGCGAACAGCACTGGCTCAGAGCACGTCGCGATGCAACACGCCACATCTGGAGGCCATACTGCACAGGACGGCGGCGATTCGGAGCGACACGCCACAAGACCGCACCTCACGACTGTGACTCTGCGTGACCGGCACGCCGCGGGTCGCCCTCGGAACCGGGGGGTCGCCCTCGGAACCGGGAGGTCGCCCTCGGGACCGGGAGGTCGCCCTAGGAACCGGGAGGTCGCCCTCGGGACCGCGAGGTCGCCTCTATAACCGGGAGGTCGTCCTCGGGACTGGGATATCTCCGCCCGGACCGGAAGGTCACCGTTGGGACCCGGAGGTCGCCCTCGGGACCGGGAGGTCGCCCTCGGGACCGGGAGGTCGCCCTAGGAACCGGGAGGTCGCCCTCGGAACCGGACGGTCGCCCTCAGGACCGGGAGGTCGCCCTAGGAACCGGAAAGTCGCCCTCGGAACCGGGAGGTCGCCCTCAGGACCAGGAGGTCGCCCTCGGGACCGGGAGGTCGCCCTCCGGACCGGGAGGTTGCGCGGCGCGCCAAACTCACCCAGACGTCGCCTCGGACGTTCCTGACCATGGTGATACGCTTCACGCCGTTTTCCTTGATCTTCAGGTACACCGGCAGCATGTGGTTCACCGATCTCCGTACGGAGTACGTCAGCTCCGAGCTGCCTGCGGCGCACGGCCAGCGGCGGTGAGGCGGCCGGTCTGGTCAGAGCCGTCGCACGTGGCCCGAGATGTGTGACGCTGCATCTCCAACTCACAGGACATTGGCGTGGCAAAACTGCATCGATTGCATGCCACCAGAAGTCTTACTCACACACGTGCCGATGCGTGAAGATAAGCCACATTTTTGTCTGCTGGCGGACCTCGTACGGTCTTGCATTATTGCCCAGAGGCGAATGCCTGTTCGCATGGCATCATCGTCACAGGAGGCAGGCTCGGACGAACCAGCGGCCACTCGCAGGCCACGCTACCTTGCTGCGGGGTCCAGCCGGAGGGGTAGCGTGACTTGGCCGCCGGCACCGGCACCGTCTCTCGGGGCAGCAGCCTCTCCACGTGGCGCCAGTCCACCTCCACCGGCTCCACCTCGGGCAGCTGGGCGTCCGGCGGCGGCGGTAGCTGGCGCACGTACAGGCCGCGCCGGCCCTGCCGACGGACGACGGTCAGACGGCGTCGCAGCTACCAGATGGGACACGGCCAAACAGACACAACAGAATGGGTGTGACAGCAGGGGCAGAATGGCCAGCACTTGGACCATCTGCATGACAGCCATGTGAGAGGAGACAATGTGCAATGAGGAGAAGTCAGTTCTAAGCTGTCAAATTTGCTGCATTTTGACACAATCATTTCACTTACCATACCAAGTCTCATCCCCATAACAGGAAGGCTGGTGAGCCTTCTTGCTGTATTCAGGCACCAAGACATACTGATGGCAGCTCTTATCTGAAACAACAAGCTGTGGTCATATGGTGGTCAGATAATCACTAGTAAGGATTTCACTGAATGAAAAGTAAAGTAGATTTCACTGGATATGAAGTTAATTATATTTCAGTGAATACCAAATTAAGTACACAGGCAAGAGCTTTGTGCCCAGGTCTTGCTTGAAGCCACGATAGGTACAGAACAATAATTTTCTTTAGCAAGTCCTCTGGGCCACAAACTACACCATGCTAAGCAAAAGCCACTACTGCACCATGAATCTACCATTGTGGTTGTGGCATTTCAGTTAAGCAGCCCATTTTTCAGAATTTTGGATGATAATACACAATTTTTGCTCAACAGTGTTCGGCTGGTAGCTTTTTGTGGCATACAACATTTGTCATACAGCAAATTGCCAGTCTGGTCTCAGCTCATCCCTTGCCAGAGGGCTGCTCCATGCATGGCTGGGCTGAGCACACTGCCCCCTCTGTCACTTGAAATTAAGACATCTGAGTTGCCAGCAGTACTGCTGAGTTGGAGTACAGGAGCCCGTGCCTGGGCAGGAGCTGTAGTGAAGTCAATGAAAGCTCAATGACTCTGCCTTTGAACCCCTGTTTGGTTGGTAGCATCCACAAAAGTGGGGTATACAAACATTTGGAATCTGTGAGTGATGGGTCTGTTTGTAAAATTATTGGCAATATTGTATATAAGGAGGAAACACATGGGCACATGATCTTTTCAAATTTGGCATGTATTAATGCAAAGATGTCTGACCTAAAGAGACAACTAAAACCAAACCAAAGTAAAGTGATAGTTGTAAAAAAGGCATTATGGTACATGTTCAATTTTTCCAAATTGAGATATGCATGTACAAATGAGATGACCAAAATCATGCAATGTTTTGGTACAACATGCAAACAATTTTGCATAGTAGCCAGAAGGTTGACCTTTCTGGCATGTGGTGACCTTGCAAGCTTATTGTAGCTGCCATGACATCTCAACCACTTTTCCTGAAGTGAAACCAGATGCATTGAGCCTAAACAGCCATTCCAAGGGAATGAATGGATGCACAGCAGGCTCCATAGCTGTGTCCCGCCAGCTCAACAAGATGTATGGGTCACTGACATGAGTAGCCAGATGTACCTTTCATATGCCTCCTCCAGTGTTTGACTATGTCTGGTATTGGGTGTTCTCCATGAAATCATCAAAATTGGTCTGTGATGGCAGCATAAATGCCAGTTTTCCAGGAGTGTCTCAGTGCCATCAAGCATATCCTGTTAGGCATTGCTAAGTCCTGTCTCCTAAATGGACATGTTCCTCAGCAGTGGAAACATGCATTTATTTCTCACTTCTAAAGACAAAAGATCTAAACACCTGATCCAAATCTGTACAGTAGACCATAAATTTATGTGCTAACCATATCAGAGATTGCTTACACACCATGCACGCCACTTGCTTGTCAGCAACCAACACAGCTACAGACAACACTTTTTTAAAAAGCATGCACTACTTGAAGAATGCCTTTTTCCTTTTGTCCCCAGAAAAGTTTGTTTATTCATGCTAAGAGCCATCAAAATGTTGATAAGTTGATCACATCATCATTTTTACCACACTTATACTCCAAGATTGCCAAACAGTGCTTGTAACCTCCATGTATGTCATTGTCAGTAGATACAAGCATTTAACAGCTAAATTAAGCTCATACATTCTACAAAATTTTCAACTACCACAGGGTTGTATCAGGGCACCACTCTGTGACCTGGTGTACTTGCATTTTTTTTCAACAAACTCATTATGCACCAATATAGCTACTATTTTGCAGCATGTGATCTATGTCGGCAGCAAAAAGCAGGTGACTGATCACTAAGCTCATCCAAGGAAAAAACAATCTGAATTTACCTCACTGGTTTTGCTTGCACTCCATGAGTCAGCAAGCTAAAACCCTGACCATCATGTTTGAAACTACAAAGATGCTCAGAAACTTCCATCTGTGCAAACCAAATCAACTTACAGACCTCTACAATCTCAAAAAGCAGAACAGTTATGTACAGTGGTCTCGGCATGCATCAATTCTTTTATATAGACGGCTGTAATGATGAGGTAATTGCTACAGAGTAGAATACGGCTCTAAATGGTATCAGTCCTTTTGTCAAGTTGTGGTGTGCGCGAAATAAAGCAAACGGATGAAGAATCGGCCATTCCACTTTTGACTTTAAGGATCCCATGTGGGTTAAGAAGTCCAACCATCTGCACACCATATAGAGTTCGCCTTATAACAATCACCTTCACGACCCCTTCTGACTGAGCACAAGCGTCTGCATTCACCGCGTACACCAGTATCTCATTTTCCACAATCAATTTCCACAAACTGGGGCGACAATGTTGTGGTTGAAGTTTGCCTTAAAAGCGCAATGATTGAAACTGAAAGGTTTCCGAGTTGCCTTTAGTGAGACAAAAACTGCATCACAAGTAGAAGTATGTGCTCATTTTGAAACCTATCACTTGAATTCTACTAATTTTGAATCAATTTTCATTTTTAAATAGGGTTCAATATTTATTTCATAATACTTTTACAAAGAACCATTAGAATTTTTAGATATTACAAGACCTAACAGCATACTTGCAAAAAACGCACGCTGGATCACGGCTACCCTGGTGGCAGATTTTGAACCTTTTATCAGACTTAACTGTAGCGCACAAACGCGTCACCCAATGATATAAGTGGAAGCGAGATAAGCATGGGAATGTGCTGAGGAACCTGCTGGAGGGGGGAATAGGGGCTGCGGCCGGAATCATTAGCACAAGGTCCCATGCGATAGTTTGTGGGCAGGAGTGTTCTGTCACATAGAAGCTCATCTATTAATATAGCTCATTCGCGTTATTTATCGAACATGTTCGATGGTGGTGGCTGCGGGACGGATGCACTGGGAGACACAATGCCGGACCATGTGAGCCCCAAAATGTGTGCTGTTGCTCAATCGCATGCCTTGCATTGTTTGCTGTGCACCGTTGTCTGTGGGCTTGCTCGAAGGATTGTGGCCATCAAGAAATTGTTTTATTGCATTGTGCTGCTCTTGTTACCAATTTGTCATGGGTTCAATGGGGTTGTTTAAAAGCTGTGGTTTTAACATAAACCATGATGGAGACTAGCACACCAAAATGGTTATCATGGTGCAGTGGCCATGCAGACAGTAGCATTGTGTTGCTGTGATCAAGCTAAAGGCAATAGTGTAAAGATGTCAATACTTTCAACATAAGTTATTTGCTAAGCTTGAAAAGGGTAATTGGAAGGTTGTCTCTCTATAAGCATATAACCAGGAAATCACATGCTGCAGCTCCTTCAAGTACTTATTGAAAAGGATGGTAATTAAGCTTTAATTGCTTATTAATTACCTTGAATTTTTGCTCCTGGTTTTTACTTGGTTTATCAACTCACTAATTCATTGTGTCAGAATAATGTTGTAGCAGGAGTACTGGATTGGAAACTTAGATTCAAGTTGACAACTTCACTATGAATGGCAAAGATGAAAATCATACTATACAGCTAGAATGTTGGCAATATACACCTAATCTTGTTCCCTGTCTGGGTTCTTTGCAGGCAGACATTCAAAAAGATAATGTCAGTAGCATAATACAAAAGTAATATATTGCTATTATCAGAATAAGGATGTCAGTATATTCAAACTAGGCTTAGTTCCACTGAGCATGTTCTGCAGCAGATCAGGGGTATCTTGGGTGCCTCCACAAGTTGCCCTTGACTACCTGTACATAGCTGATACAAATAAGATGTCCATGTTTGTGGTGGCATGGATTACAACATTACCATACTTATTTTGCATTTATGGTAAAATTTCAGGGCTATGATACCATGCATGATGACCATATTAACATTAAGAGGATGTCCCTTAAGCTGGACATCAGTTTGGTTGTGGAATTTAAATGATCTGGAGTGTGCATAATGATCTTTTTGAGTTCTTGTTTTATTTGTACCATTAATCAAATTGATTGCTCTGAAAATAGGTGTGAAAACTATATATAAGCAACAGGCTTTTCTTAAATCAGTTGGCTTTGTCAGGAAATGTTGGCAGGCATAGATTTTAATGGTCTACAATGTATGCAGACTCCATATTTCCAGACTCCACTCCATATTCAGAGCAAGTCCATAATTTTGAATATTTAAGATTTGAGTCTGAACATTTGGTTATCTTTTCAGCAGAATTCGCTCTTATGGCATAATCACAAACTAGGGCAATTACAGTGGAAAGTCTGGGTATCACTTCACACCAAAACCCGTGATGGTCATTATAAGTCAGCTCAATAATGTGTGTACAGTGTGACTCAGGGGTCAGGACCAGCTCTATTGCAATGCATCACAGTTGGTAACAGCCCAGTCTCAGAATGATTTTGTCTTCCTCTGGGTTGTACCAGGAGCCTTGCAGCTCTCTTGGGTGATATGCACATGGTGCCATGTGGATTTTGGAGCAGTCCCCCTATGCAAGTCAATAAATCAGTACATGGGTCTGTCAATAGGGGTATCATCTTCCTATAGCACCATGATCCTTTGGTGGTGGGCTGGATATTTGGAGCCATGTGCTGTGTATGCATGAAAATTGTGTATGCTTGTGCTGGTACATGAGGCTTATTTCAGCAGCAGAGATAACAGCATGCTGTGTTAAATTATGTGTAATGTCATGATGTTGTGTGATAATGTAATAATATATTGTAACGCAGTAGTGAATATTGTAATAGGGTGTGAACTTGGTTTATCCAGCTGTTGTGTTGATTGAAGAGACAGAACAGAACAGAAGACAGAATGAGGGCCTTTTGTAAATTTAAGAAGACAGCTGTCAGTCTACATTTTCCTTGGTATTTGTTATGTGCCTCATAATTTGTGGCTCTTAGCTCATTTATGTGTTTTTCAGTCATCACTGAAGGCTGATGAAGATAGAAAAACTGAGGCAGAAACATACAAGAATCAAGCCAATGAAAGGTTCACTGGTAAGATGGGCTTCATTATCATCATGAAACCCTGTTGTCACTCAATGTTTCATCTCCTATAATGACATCATGCAGGCACAAGCCACCCTTTGCTGACTCTGTTCCAGGCATGGTAAACAGATGAAAAATGGGTGGTAGCCACTACCATAACATATGACTTTAAGGCTGGTCATTTTACTGTGGGTGTAATAGTTGCATGTTAGGTATTTTCAGTTTTGGTCAAAGTAATTGTTTTGTCATCTTAGTGTGGCCCCATGAAATTTGTTGCATAAACTGATAAACAAAATAGTCTCAGATGCCAATGTGCTTGTGAAACCTCAAAGCGAAGCTGGTGCAAGTCAAAGAGTGTCATCGCTTGCCCCCAAGAGGTCAAGTGAGGTCACATGATGTCATTCCTTCAGCTCCCACGACCCTGTCCATCTATGGCTGTGCAGTTATGTGCCTAACATACTTTTGTAATGTAGGTATATTGTGATGCCTTCATTAACATCATTTCAGGTGGTATTGAAAGGTGATTGGTTGTGACATTGACATTGGATGATTTTTGACATTGACATGGTTTTTATACCACCTTGAATGACCCATGCCATTTCTCATTCACCATGGTCATGATATTATGTGAACATTTGAATGATAGTTATGGATTATTGCATGCATTAAGTGGTGTGCATGGCATGCTTTAATGTGTTCCCAGCCACATTCTAGTATGTTGCTGCATGATCAAGGGATCAGTACCTTTTATCATGAATTGATTGCCTGCCTCTTTTCTTAATCATAAGTTTAGAAGAACATGCTTAATCAAAGACAGTTGTCTGGTTTTATTTAGATCAATTCGTTAGGAGCCCCGTGTCAGTCGGTAGATGATGGCGTGCCTCTGACCGCGACACGGGCCGCCTGCCACTGCCGGGCCAGTCCGCGCTCCCGCTGACGCCCGTCCCCGTCCGCAGCCCAGGCCTTTGACGAGGCCGTCGATCTGTACACGAAGGCCATCGAGAGGTGTCCCGACAACCACATCTACCACGCCAACCGCAGCGCGGCGCACCTCCGGCTGGAGAACTTTGGCTACGCGCTGGCCGACGCCTCGCGCACCGTCGAGCTGGACAAGACGTACGTCAAGGGCTACTACCGGCGCGCCGCCGCCCTCATGGGCATGGGCAAGTGGAAGCAGGCGCTGCGCGACTTCGAGAGCGTGAGTGTGGACCTGTGGTCCTGGTGGGAGTGAGGGTGGAGTGGGAGGGAAGGGGGGGGGGGCAGAGCTTGCCGCTGTCGGTGGTATGGTTCTGTGGACGCTTGCTGGTGGACGGGCAACGAAGGTTGTCTTGTTGCTTCATTTCATTGCGAGCTTGTTTGTCGTGGATGGACATGGCATACATCCTGAGGCTATGACTTCGTCTGTCCCAAAGTAATAACAGACACATTTGCCATCAAAATCTGCCACACGCAGTGATGGCCTGGGAAAACATCAGCTCGCCTGCCCTCGTTTACCGCAAACCGCACAACGGTGCGAGCCCGGCGTGTGCCTCGGCTCCGCTCGCTCGGCGGCAGTTCGCGCCGCGGCCACCAGGGCGGCCGTCCGTGACGTAGCTCGTCGGCCGGCCGCCAGGTGATGAAGGCGCGGCCGCGGGACAAGGACGCGCGTGAGAAGTTCACCAAGTGTCGCATGATTGTGCGTCGACTGGCGTTCGAGCGCGCCATCGCCGTCGACGAGGTGCAGACGACCGTTGCCGATTCGATCGATCTCGACTCGATGAGTGAGTGGCCGGCGATCGCCGCCGCCCCGTCTCGTCGTGCGCCCCGCCGCGGCTTGTTTCGCGGAGCGGTGCTCGGTACTCGAGTGAGCTTGGCTCCCTTCTGACGGCCAGGTGGCGGCAGTGTCGCGCACTCAGATCGGCAAGAATACCGGTTTTTCGACGGAGCGAGTTTTGATTGAGCGATCGACACCGTCCGCCGACGAGGGGGTGTGGAGTGGGCGGTTCAATCTGAGCTGTCCCTTACTTGCCTTTAACCTGTAGGACCATTTTTTCTGGGCCTGTTATCACGGGATGTTTATGCTATACTTTGGTGTGCCCTGCCCTGGAAGCATGACCGTCGCCGCCCTGGCCATCGCCGTTACGTGCTGTTTTGTGTCCGCGCGCGGTTCGACTGCCGCGCCGACTGAGGCGCCCGTGTCCGCAGCCATCGAGGATGGACTACGCCGGTCCGGCTCTGGAGGACGGACGGGTGACAGTCCAATTCATGGCTGATCTCATGCGCTGGTTCAAGGACCAGAAGCTCCTGCACAGAAAGTATGCCTTCAAGGTATGGCCACTGAACATCGATCGAAGATGCTGCTGTGACGGAATAGCCAGTGCGTTGTAATGGCCTCTGTTTTCTAACGAAGGCA